GCCAGCACCGCGGCCAGCAGGATCGTGATGCTCCCGCCAATGGCCGGGCAGCGCGCTGGGCAGAGGCAAAGGGCTGTGGGGCCGTGGCCGATGGAGAGCGAAGCCTCGGAGAAGATCTATAGCAGAGCCCACCCAGCCCGGCCCGGCCGGCGGGGCCCAGTGGTTGAGCGTCGACCTATGAACCAGGAGGTCAGGGTTCGATTCCCGGTCAGGGCCCATGCCTGGGTTGTGGGCTCGATCCCCAGTGTGGGATGTGCAGGAGGCAGCCGATCGATGATTCTCTCTCATCATTGATGTTTCCATCTCTCTCTCCCTCTCCCTTCCTCTCTGAAATCAATAAAAAAATATATTTTTAAAAATACATTTCAAACAGAATTCTGCGCGCCAGCTCCTTCCAGGAAAACGTTCCGCTGGGAGAACAGCCTGAGTGACGTTTCCACACCGAGGGGCGGGGCCTCCACGCGGCAGCACGCGACCACGGACATCCCGGCACCCGCGCATCGGAGCCTCAGATAATCCGCTCACGCCCTCCCGGGGATATACCTGTGCCTGCTTTCCAAGGGGTAAACTGAGGCTGAGAGAGACTGGCTGAGGGACCCAGCAAAGCGACAGAGCCGTGCTTCCTGCCCTGGACGCAGGCGGCAGTGTCCCCGCGTCCCACGGGCCCATACGACATGCGAGGCGTGTGGCTGCGAGGCTGCGGGGCGCCGGCACCCCCAGCCCCTCCCTGGCCTCGAGGCTGTGAATTCCTGTCCATCTGAGCGTCCAGGCACCACTCAGAGCAGAGCCGGATGCTCAGGCCCCACAAAACGGCCCTGTGGGCTCACTCGGGCTTCCTGGGCCGGGCTGAGGCCAGAGGCCCTCCCCGAGCGTCACGGTCAAGTTAGAAATGCGGGCCTGGCTTGCGCTCTCTGCACCCAGCGAGGAACAATCAGGGAGCTTGCAATTTGAAACAAAGCAGCGACGCCGGCCCCTCCTATCCCCAGCTCCGACCAACTGCTTTTCCCACTTTTGATCTGGGATTTGGATTGAACATGAAAACTCAAGCCCGATTCCCAGTCTGCGGCGTTTGAGGGAGTCTGGAGGTGACGGGCCCATGTGGCCATGACAGTCACCCTCCTTCGCCGGCTCCCATTCAGCCATGGATCGGCCCGCCCGGCGGGAGGACAGAGCTGGGAACCCTCGCCCACCTGCGGTGTGGACAGGGGTCCCACCATCGCCCGCGCAGGTAAGGCCGGCGCTGAGCGCACACCTGGCTGTGCTGGGGGCAGAGGGGTGCACACAGCCCACGGGGTTCACTTTCCCAGCACCAGAGATTCTATTGTGTTGAAAGACTGAACCAATAGCTACATTGTAGCTCCGTTGTGTTACATTGTATCCGATCGTGCTGTAGGGCATTGCTTCGTTGCATTGTATTAAGTCGTGTTGTATTACATTGTATTGTATCGTGTCGTCTTGCATCGTGTCAGTCTCATGCTTACACACAACACCCGGCATCCTCTCCTCCGTGTGTGGAGAGGGGAAAGGGTTAATAATGCCGAGCCTTTCTCGAAAAAAAGGCATATTGAGTGGAAATGGTTTCGTTCTTTTCTTCCAAGAGTGAGAAGTTCTCCTGAAAGAGAATCCTTTCCCCTCCCCATTCAAAGGGTAAAAATGAAAGGTTGCGGGGACCCAGGCCCTGCAAGGCCCCCTCTGCCCTGACCCCCGGGGGTGAAGGTCGGACTCGCATTTCTACGGAGCCGCAGCCTGGACAGAGGGGTCCAGCCCCAGACGGGCGGGCCGGCGCTCAGGGCCCCCAGGGCAGCGGGCCGCGAGGGCCTGTTTCTCCCATGTGACCTGAACAGTGTCCGGCAGAGCCCCTGCCCCCAACAGGAGCGCACACCATTGCGACTCAGAACTGCAGTCTGCCCCGGCAGGTGTGGCTCAGTGGTTGGAGCATCGGCCCGTGCACCGAAGGCCACGGGTTCGATTCCCAATCAGGGCACACACCCAGGGTGCGGGTTCACTCACCGTCGGGACATGTGCTGGAGGCAACTGATTGATGTTTCTCGTCCACGTAGATGTTTTGCTCTCTCTCTCTCTGTCTCTCTCTCCGCCCCCCGCTTCCTCTCTCTCTGAAACCAATTTTTAAAAGGACCGCAGTCTCCTCTCCTAAGCTGGGTGGGGCCGTGGGGGCCGTGGGGGCCGGGACCAGGGAAAGGCTCCTTCTTTCACCCAAACCCAGGCGTGCGGCCTGCGCCCGCGCGTCTGTCTGCAGCTCCATCGGCCATGGGGGAGCAGGGACGCAGCAGGAA